TGAGCAGCGGGGGAGGTTTGGTAACGCGTTCCCCTCGCAGATAACTTTATCTGCGCGCTGAAGCTTCCTCAGGGCCTCGGCCGCTAGCGCTGCAGACGCAACCGCGTTTTCAAGGCAGCGCTTAAACCCCGCTTGGGTTTGTGTTAATGGCATTCCTGGCCGTAACCTACTTAGGGGAGAAATCATTCTGCCCCTGCCGCGCTTTATGGAACGAGAGATCTGGGAATTGCGGGAGTGACGCCAGGCATCGCCCTCTTCTTCTTACAGGTTCCGTCGTCTCCAGCGCGTGAGGGTGTGCGAGACAACCGGCGCGACCGCGGCGTTGGTTGTCGGCAGTCGGTGTGCCGGGAGAGCCCAGAGCGCCTGTTGACTGTCCATCCTCTGTCGTCTTCAAAGTACGGACGTACCGGTCAAGACTCAGTAGGTGCTGCAAGAATCCTCTGCGCCTGACTGCTAGAAATAAAGTAACGGGATAAATCTCCTGGAATGATAAAGAATTCAAGTGGTTACATCGAGTTAAAAGGTCAATGACCATGGAGAGGAACTCTCTTTTATAAAAGTTGGGCAGGAAGCAATTCTGTGACCATAAAAATCATTTCACAGCAAAATAAAGAGAGTGTAAAAGTGAAATCAAAGGTAAATGTGCACAGAGCTTTGGAAGTGGTAGACCGATACACCGTTTTATTGATAACGAGATACTTTATTAGGTTAACTTTATTTTAGTTCCAAAATAGTACTTCACATAGAGCCTCATAATTAGTTTTGGTAACAGTTTAAAAAAAATGTCGCGACCTTTAAAATAACACTGGTACATCTAATACGTATATTGATGACTTATGATAAAGTGTTTACGATCAAATGTAAAGTTTTAAGCCTTGTAATTAAAGAGAATTGCTTTAATGAGACTTTCTGTAATTGTAACGTTATATCTAACACCAATTATTATACGATTTAAAAAACCCTCTGGAGATAATCTTAGAAATCTTAGTGAGCGCTACACATCTCATTTTCCATGCACTGGGCTTAAATTTGTACCCTCTTGTTTTCTTTAATTGGTGTGTTGCATGAAATTTTTTCCTTTTTGGTCATTTGATACCGTGAGAGAGATTGGTTGCCTAGCTATCGCCTCTCTGTAGGATGTTGTTAAAAAAGATCTTTGTGTTGTCAGGTTGCAGAGCGGGTAAGTACATTCTAGACTAGCATGCTGATTGATTTGCATCTTCGTAGCTTTTAGGTATGCAATTGCATTGTGGTATGGTAGAAAGTCGATTTGACTATGTAACAGTCGGTATTGCCACTTTCTTCGGTTCTTTTCGATATTCCACTATCTTAATTACTGAAATTGCAATTTTTAAAAGTTTCTCTGCAGGTGGAATGCTTCCTGTTCCTCAAGTGCCTCAACAGATTAGCCAGGAGCAAAGCCAACAGCAAAATGGACCAAACTTTTCAGGTTTGCATAGTTCCTTACCTGCTCCACGCAGCAAGAACCCAGCTTT